CACAGGCTTGTTCCTAGAGCTATTTAGGCCCTGTAGGATGTGAGGCCATCACTAGTGGTGGAGACCTGATCTAGCCCAGAAACAAGGAAATCATTAGGACTAGACCTTGACCTCAGATGGGCCCTGTAGGGTCTGCTGTGAGCTCCCTCTGTGTCCAGACAGGCTGGAACCTCACCTTCTGAGAGGCAGCTGTTGCTTGGATGGAAGGTGCTGCCAGCATGGATATCTTCAGCTCTCTGTGACTTCTCCTACATCTTATTTCCTCCAGTTTCCCTGAAAATCATGGTCCAGCAGAGCTGGAAGACTACTGGATTCAACTATTTCCTTACGTGAGGAAGCTATGGTCTAGCTGGCAGAGTCACGCCGATGTCCCAGCCATACCTCAAGGCCAAATTCAGTCTCTGCCTTCTCCAGCAGACTGCCCTCACCTCCAGAGAAACTTTGATTTTAACCTGTGTGTACTAGAATAGGGGAGACCTCCAGGAGGGTCTCAGGACTTCAGTGGAAGAGAGCATGTGCTTGGTGTAGATCCAAGGCCCAAGGTCACAATGTGGAGACAGTCTCACAGGGATCAAACTGTCCTGAGCCAATTTCAACTGGGTACACTTCAAAGTAGGTTGGAGTGTAATTTTCCAGTCTTGCTACTGACTGTATTGATCCCTTGAAACAGATTGAGAAAGCAATTGTTTCTAGTCTGTGGAGTACCAACTCATGTCAAAGCTCTCACCAGCCTGTGTCCAGATTTAGAACTGTTTGATTTTGATGTGCCCAGTGTGGAGGCTGCCAGGTAGCAGCTGGGTCCTCTACACCTATGTCCTCTCCTTCTCCAATGTGCAGCCAAACGTCATGACACAGGAGAAAGTTGCTGGCCCTTGCTTGGCTTCAGCACGATCCCAGAGTCTAGTCACCCAGGTGCACCTGCAGTGCCTGACATCTCTCTTAAACGAGAAAGTCGCTTTGCACATCTTGATTTTCACATGACACTCAGACTATTATTATCTGTGACTGACATCAGGATCTATTTCACCCCAAGCAAAGGCAGCGTGTGGATTCTGGCAGCATCGTCTGACATTATGCTGCATCCTCTCTCTTGGAAGCATTGCAAGCTCGTGCAATGCCAGGGATGTTCCTGTCTGTCTGAGACAGATGTTGAAGATGAATAATGTTTGGAAAGGATTAGAGATGTTGTCACAGGAAGAATCGAGTGCCAGGAGCGACTGCTGAAGGTATCGCAGGCTCTGATGATGGCCACGTGCCCACAGTACTCTGCTTCCTCAGTGGTTTTCAGATGGTGGGATCTCTATACAAGCGCCTAGTGGGAGGCTACAAAGGCAGGCAGAGCCCGGGAGCAGCGCCCATTCTTCTAAGGAACAATTAGCAGAATGGCACCTACATAAAAATCCATCTCCTTCGCTCCCCTCCTCCGCCCGTTGCCCCATCCGACTGCTGAGCATTGGTTATGAGGATAGCCCCTACTAATGCTGTGGTGCATATAGTGGCCATTACTGCTTTCAGTACCCGGGCTCCCTGGTATCTTGTCAGATATGGTGCTTAGGAGGACCGAGGTCTTCAGTGACAGGTGCACAACCCTGTTGTCACCTAAATTTCTTTTCCTTTTTTTTTTCATTTTTCTTTATTAAGAAATTTTCTACTCGCTCCACATACTATCCACAGATTTCCCCTCCTCCTTCCTCCCCCTCCCACCCCCTAGCCCTCTTTCCCAAGCCATCCTGCATCCCTACATCCCCCAAATCGAGGTCTCCCATGGGGAGTCAGCAGAGCCCAGCACACTGAGCCTAGGCAGGTCCAAGCCCCTTCCCACTGCACCAAGGCTGTGCAAGGTCACCTGAATTTTATCTCTAGCTTTCATTTATCAAGACTCTGATATCTCGCTTGTTTGCTTTTCAGGAGGTGGCATAGAAGAAAGTGAAAGTCCTGAGGGACCATTAGAGTTGAGAATTGCTCACTGTGCAGAGATGCACTGGGAGGTTGGGGTTGTAGAGTGACTCACATGCTTGGGTGCGGTGCCATGTGCATATCATCATATTTCATCCATTGGATGAGCCTAGGAAGCTAGGGTTGTGATGCTGCTCTTAGAAATGTAGACACAAAGGTTGGGGAGATGACTCAGAAGGTGAAGTGTTTGGTGTGCAAGCATGAGGACCCCGAGTTTAGATCCCAAGCACCCATGTAAAATCTGGGTGTGATCGCATGTGCCTGTA